GAAGAGTGTTCTAAATCTGAATCCATACCTGTAAAGATCTTCTGGAACAGGGTTTCTCAAAGTGGTCTGTGACCCACCTTCATGAGAATTACTTGTGATGCTTATTTTAAAAATAAATATTCCTTACTGAATTGGACATCCTGGGGCTGAGATTCATGAATCTGACATTTTAATGACCTCCTCAGGTCGTCCTTACCTATGTGGAATGCAGACCACACTTTGATAAGCCCATTTTATCCCTAGATTGCCGTTCAGTTTAACTTCCCAACGGAACGGCACAAAGGTGACTACATGGAGGTCATGTTACCTTATCTGTCCCTAGGAGAGTTTTTTTTAATTTTTTTAAAAATTTTACCTTTTACATAAGGACCTTATTTCTCACTTTGTACTCTGAATTTCTATGGTGTCATCTTAACAAAGATGTGAATTGCAGTGGAAAGGAAAAGATTGTATAAATAAGACAGCAATTCGGATTAGTTTCTTGTTTGTATCACAGCCTTTAGTTGTTGAGATTTAAGGAGAATCACACATCAGAGGTGGAAGAGGCCTTTGGGATAATCTGCCAGCTTTTCTCAATCAGAGGTGGACTGCGTGCCCATGTTCACACCTCGGTTGTAATAGAGATTTTTGTTGGGTTATTACTCATGCTGGGGAAAGTAGAGATTGTAAACATCCTACAATGCAATGGACAGTCCACTACAATGAAGAAGTGTCCTGTACCAAATACAAATACTTTCTAGGTTTAGAAACACTAATTTCAAACTAGTTGCGAAAAATGGAGATCCAGAAATATTACTTGGATCTCTTTGATAGCATTGCCTTGTTTTCTGGACTTTTTAAAAAAATCTGTCTTACATACACTTTTCTCTAAGCGTATGGAATTAATTTTGTTAATGAGGAGTAACATTTTTTGTCCCAAATATTTTACCATGTTAGCCACTACCATAGACCAATTTGGGTAATTCAGTTCAATATATTAAAATGTAATTTAGAGTCTGCTCTGTGTAAGACACTGTGACGGGCCCCTTGGGGGATTACAAAGATGAGTAAGGTGAAGTTTTCGCCTTAGGAAGCTCAAGATACCCAGATGAGAGATAGACACTTGCCCAGCTCCCAGGGTATGACAGAGTCTGCTTTAATTGCATTAAACATGGTATGTAAATATAAAGAGACTATCAAGGTAGAGGAATTTGAGAAAGCTTCACAAGGAAGGTGGCCCTTGAGCTGTGATGTAGCAGATGAAAGGCAAGGGACGAAAAGTAGTTGAGAGAGAATTGTAGGCTTGAAAAGTGGGAAGGAAATAATCAAAGGCATGAAAGTAGAAAAGATGTGTCCGGGCAAATTTAGTCGTCCAATATGATGAGTGAGGAGAGGCTGGAGGCAGACAGCCGGTTGGGAAGTCGTTGCATTGCGGTGAACGGGGAGGTGAACAGAACTGAGCGTGTAAAGGGACTTCCTATATCAGGCAAGGTTCTAGTTCTTCATCTGAACGGTGGTCACAAGGGCATCTGCCTCATAGTAATTAGTTAAGGCATATATTTGTTTCATGGGGTTTTTCTTTTTCAGTATTTTATTTGACAAGAAAAAGGGATTTTTGTTTGGTTGTTTTTCAAGTCATCTCAGTGGTCTAGAGAGAGGCCCTTTATTTGTATATAATGTGTCTTTTTATTCTCTGGGTTCTTTTTGTATTTTTTCTTTGTCACTGCTTTTGGGCAACTTGATTAGAGTATTATGTGCCTTGTGATTTTTTCCTGTTTCTTGTGCTCAGAACTAGTTGAAATTTCTTTAACCCTGTAGCTTCGTAGTTTTCATTAAACTTGGAAACATTTTAACCATTATTTCTTCAACTATTGTTTCTGCTTCCCTCTCTCTTCAGCCCTTTGGGTTGAACTTTGATTATATAGTTACATATAGGGGTGGGAAAAAGTAGGTTTACAGTTGTTTGCATGGAAAAGTATGTAACACAAGAATAAATACTATGAATAAACTCTGTGTTTCACGTACGCACAACAGTAAACCTACTTGTGCCCACCCCTGTATGTTAGACCACTTAAATTTGCCCCATAGCCCACTTGCTAGTATTCTTTTAATTTATCTCTCTTTTTTTTTTTTTCTGTTTTCATTTTGGATAGTTTCTATTCCTTTGTCTTCAAGTTCTCTGATTTTTTTTTTTTTCCTGCAGTGTCTACTCTGCAGTCTAACCCATCCAATGAATTTTTTTCTCAGACACTGTAATTTTCATTTGAGAAGTTTGGTTTGGGACTTTAAAAATATCTTTCTTGTCTCTATTCAACTTTTTAAATATAATAAATATCATTATGAAAACTATTTTAATTCTTTTGTCTGCTAATTCTAACATGTCTATCAGATTTAGACTGGGTTCTATTTGTCTCCTCATTATGGGTTGTATTATTTCAGTTCTTAGCATGTGTGGTAAACTTTGATTATATGCCAAGTTTTTTGAATTTTACGTTTTCAGGATCTGACGGTTTTTGTATCCCTGTATATGTTTTTGAGTTCTGTTCTGAAACACAGTTATTTCGAAATAATTTGATATTCTTGCGTCTTACTTTTACGCTCTGTTTGGCAGAAACAGAGCAACATTTGGTCTAGGGCTAATCATTCTCCACCCCCGAGGCAAGAGCCATCTGAGGACTCCACCCTGTACCCTGTAAATTGTGGGTTTCTCTCGTCTGACTGGTGGGAACAGGCACTATCCCCGGCCCTGAGTAAGCACTGGCCCAGGGCCCTCCCTTGCTCTCAGGTCGTTCCTTTCCTGACCGCAAGCAGTCTCCTCCCAGACAGGGACCGTTCGGCGCTCTGTAGCATACTCCAAGAGGACTACCCGGGACCTTTGCAACGCGCTCTCTGCGCAGTGATCTCCCCTTGGCCACTCTCCGCTGGGAACTGCACTGGCCTCGGCTTCCTTAGCCTCCCAGCCCCACCTCCTTCGCTCATGGGGTCCGCCTGCCTCCGCCTTAGTTCTCCCTTTCTGAGCTGTGGCCTGGAAACTCTCCCAAGGCAGTGACAGGAGTCAGTGATAGGGTTCACTTTGTTCCCTGCCCCCTCAAAGATCGCTCTTCTTTGTTGCTAAAGTTCAGTGTTTTGAAAACTATTGTTTTATTTATTTTGTGTAATTTTTTGGTGAGGAGGTGTTTCGGGCAGTAGGGTAAAGGAGATGCTTGTTACTCCAATTTTTGCCAAAAGCAGAAATCCTCAGAAAGCATTTGTAGTGGTCTGTATATCTGGCTATACTACCCATTCTGTTCCGACAACAACTTAATTTCTATTTCTTGAGTGCCTTCTGTGTGCCAGGCACTATGCGTGGTACATTCATACAGAATTCAATCATATGACATATTTATTAAACAGCTATTCTGTGTCAGGGAGTGTTCTAGGCAATGAGAATACACTATAGTACAAAACAGATTTTAAAAATCCTTGCCCCGGTGGTGCTCATCTTCTACCTGATGAAGAATAAACAAAATTAATAATTTAGTTATATAGCACATTAAAGGATAATCACTGCTATAGAAAAATAAAAGGGAGGTTAAGGGTTTTCAGGAGTACTGGAGTGGAAATTAATGATTGCAGTTTTCAGTAGAATGGTCAGAATAGGCTTCCTCAAGAAGGTAACTCATTTGAGCAAAGACTTGAAAGAGGCGAGGGAAGGAGCTATGCGTTCTATGGAGGAAGGGCATTCACACAGAGGAAGCAGCCAATGTAGAGACCCTAAGGCTGAAGCATGCCTGGTGTGTTCAAGAAATCATAAGGAGACCTGTGTTGCCAGAGCAAAGACCAAGGGCGAGAGTAATAAGAAATGAGGTCAGCATGGTAACTGGATTGAACAGGGTCTTAAGGTCATTGTAAAGACTTTGGCTTTTGCTGTCAGCACAGAGAGGAGCCATTATAAGGTAGTAAGAAGAGAAGGTTTGTGATTTATATTTTCAAAGAATAATTCTGACTGCTCTCCTGAGTAGAGATTGTAGGGTGATGGGTGGAAGCAGAGAAACCAATTAGGAAACTATGAATTAATTCAAATGAAAGAGTATAATAGTTTTTTTCATGGTGGAAACAGAGGAGATAAGAGAGAAGGTGGATTTTGACATATTTCACAGGTAGAACTAACTACATTTCCTAGCATATCCAATGTGCATCTAACAGAAAAAGAAGAGTCAAGGATATAGTCAATGTTTTTGGCCTGAGCAACTGGAAAGATGGAACTAACAGATGAGAAAGATTGTGAATGAAATGAATTTGGGGGAAGATGATGAGGAATTTAATATTGGACATACTAAGTTTGAGATGTCTGTTGGATATGCAAGTGGGAGTATTAAAATAGGAAACTGGATATATGAACCTGCAGTTCATGGGAGAGTTCTAAGCTGGTAAGTCAAGGAACATGAAGACTAGGACTTGACCCAAATTGGAGCAATATCGAGATCTTTGGTGAGTTTAAAACTTGATCCTATTTTGAAGACTAAATGTCAGGATGGATGAACTTTAAAATGCATCCAAAAAGTGAGAACTATTAAGTGAAAGCCTTTTCTTCCATCTTGCCAGATTGCTTATTTCGCTAATAAAAAACACAACTAAAGTGCTAGGCAAGATAGATAAACACTGAGTTTCACATCATTTATTTTTATAAATTTTTATTGTAGTCAGATGGGGGATGCTTTGATTTTAATATGTACCTCATTCATTAGAATGAGTCTAGACTATGGTAAAGATATTTTTTCCAAGTTTGTCTCCAAAAACCTATAAAAACTAGAAAACCTTAACTATTGCATTTGATAGAGAATTCTTCCACTTCTAGATCTGAAGACTAAATAAAATAAAGAACAGACAGTTATTTTCCTAGTTTTTCATTATACCTTTTGAAATAATTTGTATATACCTTTTAAATAATTTCAAGTGCCACAAAAAATAATGTTAATAGCTCAAAATCAAAAGTAAAAAAAAAACCTAGGTATAATTTTAAAAATCTTTTTCTCCTCAAGCGTTTTACGATGGGATAATGAGACAGATGTCTCTCAACTGGAAGGACATTTTGACATGGTTATGTGTGCTGACTGGTAAGTACATAAAAATCACAAAACTCCTGTTAGAAAAAATAGCTTTGCTGGAGTAATTGGGCTGTGCTGCTTTGCTGACGGCTAAGCAAAGTCAACAAATGAAGCACAAAGCCACCTTAACCTCAACAAATTAATATTCATCTCCATGTGACAGTTATAAGGTAGTCTTCTATCACACAGTAACTTCTACCACATTATTTCCCAAAGATTGATTTTGAGAAGCATTTCCATTTTCTGGAATTGCCTCTGTTTCATGCTTGATGTATCAGTAAATGGACGACTTAGGCAAATTGCAAATAATTATGGCTCGGAGAGGAATAGTCTGGAGAAAAAGGAGTTTATCAACACAAACAGCTCAATTAGCTTACTTCTTAGGAGAGATCTGACTATTGATATAAGGGAATAGATGAGTATATATGTGCGCACACATATATATGCTCCAACAAATAAACATATCTGTGAATATCTTTAGGGAAATAGCTTTCCTGAAAATCTATGTTTGCTATTTAATAGTTTCAATGTATTCAATTATGTTATTTAATTATACATAAAACAAGAATTATAAAATTACATTTTATTGTTATGCAAATAATATTAAAGTCTCTGTCAGATGCCTGCTTTTTAAAAATAATTTACATATTTTGTCTTCTCTTTTAGCCCCTTCCACTTACTGTTAATGAAAGTCTGATCCTAAGTTACAGGATAAATATGTATCAAACATTAATAATTATTTCAACTAATCTTAATGTATTTTCTTTATGCATGTTGAATAATAATTGTTTCAGCATATGGGAAATGTTAACAATTCACAAGTATTTTCTCTGTTAAGAGTAAGATCTTATTTGTATTTTTATCACACCTTAGATTTGAAAACACAAGTTCAGATTCTAAAGATCTATTATATTAATAAATCCAATGATAAGATCCAGAACCCAGGGAAGACTTTCTCTATTAGAGAGTTGAATGAATGGAGTGAAATTTTCAGGAAGTTTTTATCATCATCATCACCATCGTCATTATTATTTTATTTAATACAATTTTCAATGGGTAACTTTTCTACCTAGGTCAGTGAAATTAGATTTGCTTTCTTTTTTCTTCTGATGAACACTCTTCAATATAAATAAATAAATGTTTTTAGCTTGAGTTTTCTAGTTTTCCACAGCCTCTTTAGTCTCTTTAAACCCAACTTCAGAAAACCTCTTTCAAAGAAGGGAGAAACAGATTTCTGCTTAATCATTCCTATCGTGTCTCAATATTTCATCCCTCATCTAATAAAAAATAAGGACATAAAATCTTACTATATGATTTGAGCAAGTAATTTAGTAAATGCCTTTCCTTACCAAACATGATCCAAAGATCCTCCAGGTTTCATTGCACAGATGAAGATAGGGCTGGCAGGATTAGATCAGATTAAGCATGAAAGTCAGATCAGAGAGCGGCAGAGAGAGGGAAGGAGGGCAGGATCTTCTGGGAGGTTTAGACGAGGGTCGCACGTGGATAGGCTCTGATCGTGTGGGGAGAGTCAGGTCTGGCCAAGAGATTCAGATTAAATTTGTCCTTTGCACAAATATCAAAACAGCTTGTCTTTTTCATACCTTGTGTTAAGGACACTCACACCATGTCATCCTATTTGTACTAGAGAGACAAGCAGAAGAAGTAAGACTTAAGCTCTTTTCTGATTAATGTTCTCAGGTTAAAAAATAGCCACACGACATGTTTGAAAATAGTCTTTTTCCCTAGCCAACAACAGGATCACATACAACTGGTATACATAAATGCATATTCACTTAAGGCTCTCGTTATAAATATATAACATACTGCACACATACACATTTATGCACATTACAAACACATGCACATCTAGTAGCTCTGTGAGAATTTATGAATTCAAATGAACTAAATATACCAAGTTTCATTGTATAAATGGCTTTTCTATGCATGAATTAAGTTTTTTTTCCTGGTGTTCTAAGTGCCAGAATGTCAGCTTGTTTATAATTTCCCATTAAGAAATGTGAAACATTAAGCTATTCTCACTGCGATGCTAATATTATTTCCAAAAGAAATGCTTTGGTAATGGTCTCTGTTCATATTCCCAGGATGGGTAAGCTGCTTAGAAACTTAGGAAGTACAGTGATGTTTATAATATGTATGTCGTGCATATAGCAGTGAAGCACAGGGTTCCATGAGTTCTTTATATCCTGTAGGTTTGGTGTTTCTCTGTCTGAGTGTCTGCCTGGATGCTGCTTCTGGGATTAGGCAGGCGGACCAGGGAGTTTAGGGGTTTTTTGTTTTATTTTTTAGAAAGTCACAGAGGAGGAAAAGAAAGCTCCCTTTAGACACTACCTCCAAGATGAAATCTGAAATAGCAAGAGCCAAAAATAAGTGCCACACATAAATAGATCACTTATGTCTCACCCCATCCTTTAGTCATTGTCAGTCAATGAGATCTGGATTAGGCCACAGGAATATGAAGCAAGAGTCAGAGTTCAAATATTAGGTACATGGATTAAATTCTTATTGAAGCATTTCCAGCAAGGGTGCATTGTCTGATTCCCTGAATAGCTAACCAGTGGTACTGCTTGATCCCATTTACATGAAAACAAGCTCTATTCATGAACCTATTCCCAACCCACATTGTGGTTCATGTAAAATGCACATGATTACAACAAGCGGTGATATGTTTATGTCCTTATATCATTCATATATTCATATATTTACATTCAAACATTCTGTGGGCACTGGGGGAAATAACTTATTTCCCAGAAGAGACAGTCTGGGTTCGCATCTAAATTATTAGCTCAACTATATTATAAAATAAAAAGGCAAACTGAAAGCTAGTTATTATTTCACCATTCAGCACTTTTGACAATGAAATATAGTTTCATGGTTCAACAGTTCCTAAATAACTTGTAAAATGTCAACTTTGAAATAAACGGAAGGGGAAATCAAGGTACAGTCCCACCTGCAAAAGGATGCTGTTGACAAACATCAAAATACTAGAATATTTAACCACAGGTGTAGGAAAAAAACCTGCCTATTAAGTTCCTTGGTTGACTTGTATAATGTTGAATTTAATGTGAGTTCCTTTCTGCTGGAATGCAGTCCAGCCCAGTCCTTGCTGAGTTTAGAATAGCAAGTGATTGTTAATTTTAAGCCTGCCTTTCCAGACTCCTGTTCAATCACAATAATCTAAGAGTCTGGAAGTAAGATTTTTTTTTTTTTAATCCAATGAACGCTTTCATTCAGAGTTTGATGGCTTTCCAGTTTATTGTAGCTCTGCAAAAATAAAAGTGATTTTGTACATTTGGGTTCTCTAAAGGCTTGGAAAGCAAGTCTGAAATGCCACCCATAGCCTGACGCATGGGGCGAGGTATGTAGAACAGTGAGCCCCAGCTGTGCACGCCCACAGCCTGAGTCCAGGGAAAGACAAGGGGAAGGCACGTCGCCTCACTTGCTCTCTCAGCATCTTTACTATGTACACTGGATGGTTTCTATTTTCTATTATTTTTACTTTATCCTTAATGATTTTTTTAGGTTAGTTTTTGTGGAAAAAAAATTTTTCTGAAAAAGATCTCTAGAATTTCTTTGTTTTCTTCCAGATGCTGTAATCATGGATATTTCTAAATGACAACTCAAGGAACTTTACACCTGAAAAGATCTTTAACCCAAATGTAGTCAACCCTTTCCCCTCTCATCTGAGGAAACTCAGTCCCAAAGATCTTGCAACTAAGGAACAGAGCCAAGTGAGATTAGAATAGGGTGTTAATGCCATCCTCCACAATAATCAGTTGATAACTACTGGTAGAGGCCATTCTTCCTCTGAAAGTTAATCTAAAACAGTGAACTTAGCACATTTCACCTTGAAAATTACATACAGGTCTTCTTTTTTGTGAAAAGTGACAGAGAAATGCCTTCTTGTCCTCTGCACTAATTAATTTCCCTATGAGAAGGGTCGTAAATGCTCTGTGCTCTGCACAAAGCTGACTGATGCTAAGGGAGGTGATGAAAATGTCCCAGCCCCTCTCCTTTGTCATAAAATCTGTGATTCAGATCAAAGGAACAAAGCAAGTGTGGATTCCACAAGTGAATTACAGAGAGGTGTTCATGTGTGCATGTGTGCATGCGTGCACTCCCGTGTGTGTGTGTTTTAATGACCAAACTAGACTGTCAATGCATTTTGATCAGTAACTGAAGGGAGAGTTGAAATGGTATCTCCATCCCAATCACTGACCCACTCAGCCTTTTTAAATAGAGCCACTTAAGCTACTGCTGTTCTCTGAGTCCATTAGGACTTATTTAAGGGGTGAATTTTCAGGAGATTATATATCATTCTCACTAAAGCACATTGAAATTGCTCATAGGACGTATCCTACGAAGTGTTATAAATTCTCCATCAGAACTAAGGAGAAAGGTGAGCTTGCTTGGAATAAAGACCCCTTAGAGAACTACGAGAATTACTTTTGGGAAATTTGATTTGGAGTGATGAAGTAGACAACATTACCTTTCAAATAACTGTGTTTGGAATGTGCACTGTATGCTAAGCTGCACTTGCTGGTAAACTGATGTTAATGTCTTTGTCACCATTATCAACATTAAGTAGAAATAGTACTTTATAAGGTTATGTTTTAAACGCAGCTTTTAAGGTGGTGTTTATTTATTCTAACAATCTTACCAGCTCCTAGGATGCACAGGTATAAACTCAGCATGGTCTTTTGCTTATTGTTGTGTATCCCAACCAGCCAGGTTTTCTATAGGCCTGAGTGCCTGACAGATATTTCCCTACAATGATAACCTTCTGAAAAAACAAAACCAGAATGCTTGGCCATTAAAACTTAAGATATCATCACCTTAAGAAAGAATAAGGTACATAGTCCTGAAGAGAAAAAATTCGAAAACACTTAGATATAATTTGATTTATCAATCCTTAATGGTTATTCATTGCTGATTAATATGATTCAAATGCAAACTTTTATAGCATTTGAATTAGCATTCTGTGCTCTAAGATTTAAGTTTTTGTTTTTGTTTTTTTTTTTATGGAATTACAAAAGAGTTTTCCCATGGGTGGTAAATAGGTTATCCTGATTAATGGATGGAATGGGATAAGGTTCCCATTCTAGATATGATTTCTAGCTCATCTTAGGAGTATTCTTTTTCCAGTGCTCAAAGCATCCTTTTATAGAACCTCCTACTAATCATTTCATGCACTGACTTCTTAGAAACTTCTTATAAACTGCTTTCCCAACTTCTCCTTCTCAAATGAGAGAATTGGAAGAGAACCTAGTCTGATGAAACGTGCTACCTAAATGTTGATTCTTCCTTACCATGACGGAACGCGTACAACCTGTTTTAGGGTCATTGAAACTAACACCCTACAGAAGCTACTTCATTTCAAGGACTGCGTTGATCTGTCAGTCGGGCAGTAAGAAAATATACAATGAGTCCCTTCTATGTGTGTATGAACAGACTGGAACCTCCTTGTGGATAGGAACTTTGTCTTATCCGTAGTCATTTCTAATATCTAAAACAGCCCCTAGTATGTAGTAGGTGACAACAAATACTTATCAGCTAACATATATTATTAGATTCTCACTACAGCCACATAGGTGGGCCTTTACTGATAAAGACACAGAGGCCTCATGTGAAGTGACTTGTCCAAGGTGACATAGCAGAAGGGTCAGAGGCAGAGCTCTGTTAAACCATGAACTGCGCTCCCCAGTGGCCTGCAGTGTGGCTTTACACAGCAGCCTTCCTCCTGGCAGCTGATACTCACCCTGGCTTCAAGAAGGATGAGGCAGGGCCCTAGAGGAGACAATGCTTACTCATGCTGGGTGAGGAGCAGGGAGGCTAAATCAGAGGGGCCTGCACCAAACTGCAGCATTGGAAATGGGAGTAGGGGCCCCCACTTAGGCTCCTCATATGATGGCTGATCCATGAGGCCGCCCAGTAGTCTAACCTGAGTCCCAGATAAGGAAACTCTGTCCCAAGCATCCGAGATAAGGCCTGGAGGAGACAGGGTCAGACTGGCCCAGCCAAAGGGATGACAGAGCAACAACAGAAATTCTCAAAATACCCCAGGATAAAATGCAAAGGTGGCAGTGAACTAGGAAAAAACCAACATGGAGATCAAGGCGGGGGCACTCGTGGAATCTAGAGTTGCCATGGTCTCTGTGACATATCGCCTAAACCTTATCTTTGGTTTTGGAACCATTTAGTCCTAGGTCACTGGTTGAATCTAACCTCAGTGCTGTTCCTACTCACTAAAAACCATCACCACCTGAGGTCTCTCTGTGGTTGGGTGTAATAGGGCTGGTGATTTGCTCTCGGAGGGTGGCCTCACAGCACCCTGCGTGTGCAGAGAGCGCACCCAGGTTTTTGAGACTAAGCTCCAACGACAGGAGGTGCTGAGAGAGCTTCATCTCAGCCAGATGATTCCCCAAACAGAAGTTTAGAAGTTGTCCCTGTAACAATAGCATACGTCCCAGTTTTGTGTGATTCTGGCTCGCTGCATGTTGGTGACTTGGCTTTGGTTGCGCCACTGACCACAGTATCTTTTTTGTTTTTCCCAGCAAGACACTTGAATAGAAGGAAACAATTTCTCTTTTCTTTGAGTAAACATGTGTAATTAGCCCTGTACTTATCTCCGTTAGTATCATTAAACTTGAAAACTCAATTTAATCTGGATTCTGCTCTCTTCTCAATGTCAGCCTGTTTCTGGACCAGTACAGAGCCAGCCTTGTTGATGCAATAAAGAGATTACTCCAGCCCAGGGTAAGTATGTTTCTCTTTTCTCCTGAACACTGGCTTCAGAATAATTAGTCTGTACACAAAGATGGAGAGAGTAATGGAATGGCAGGATTAATGTCATGTAATACTTTAATACTTATTATGTCCAACTTCAATTGGGTCTTCTGATCTATCAGATTCTTTCCTAATCATAACTAGGAAACTTCTTACCCTTGGCCTTCTGATAAGGAACACAGTGGGTAGTAAAATAAATGAAACCACTTCAAAGATAGCATGAGATTATTTTTATCAAAGAATTTCTTGAGTCTTTTCCTTTGATAACAATATCTTCATATTAAAGTAGAAGTATGATATTGAAAGTTTTCTGTTGACTTCTATCATTTTAAATCCCTTCAGTGGTAACCTTTGTCATTGGGTATTTATTTATTGCAAAAGAATTTTTTCCTTTCTATTTCTGTTTATATTAAAGAAAAAGGACTTAAGATGAATCTGTGTATTAAAAGTTCTTTGCTTTAAAAGGAAGCCATTATTTATATATTATAAACATTAGGTCACAATGAAGCCAAGCGTGGCATAAAATATTGTGCACATTTTTACATTTATATATTCATTTATGCCTGTGAGTAAATTACAGAGTTTGTATCCACTCTTATTTTGTTGGGCTGTTATACTAAGCTAGGAGGTCCTGCAGCCTAAACGGAGAGTTAATATGCGTCTATTTAAAGTAAGAAAACGAGTTTAAAGCTCATGCATTAAAAAAAAAAATCGTATAAGTATGTAAGGCTCTTGCTGTACCATCGAATTTAAAATAGGTTAACCATGTTAATGCAGTTTGAGACAGGAACTCACATTTCAGAAATGGCTGCAGAGTGTGTATTTGAAGTATTTTCTAAAGTTTCATTTCTAAAGTCTTTTTAAAAAGAGGATTTTCTGCCCTGGCTGGTGTGGCTCAGTGGATTGAGTGCCAATCTGCGAATCAGAGGGTCACTGGTTTGATTCCCAGTCAGAGCACATGTCTGGATTGTGGGCCAGGTCCTCAGTAGGGGGTGTGTGAGAGGCAACCACACGCTGATGTTTCTCTCCCTTTCTTTCTCCCTCCCTTTCCCTCTCCAAAAATAAATAAAATCTTTTTAAAAACTAAAAACCAAAAGAAGGTTTGCTCCAGCCTTTGGAACTCAGTGAGACTTATAGATTAATACCTTTCAATATTTCCCTTATATCTGTTTTCACAGTGATGTATTCCAGAGCAATTTGATAATCATCCTTTACCTTACATGGTTGCTTTTTTATTTTGCTGTCTCTGTATACAATAGCTCAGAAACTTTAAATAGGCCTGTCAGAGGAGAAACCAAAACTTTGTAAATGGCAGTCAATTAAAGTAAATTGGCCTTCTCAATTCCCTCCGTGAGGCGGGCGTAGGTCTTGAGGCGAGGACGGGGCATACTCCAAGCTACTGACGGCCGCTGCCCTGGTTGGGCGAACAGCCCACGTGGAGGGTGAAAACAGGGATTTGGGGCCTCTTCATTCCCTCTGTGAGCCGTGGGTGGTTCCTGTGAGCATTTGCAAGACCAGGACTTTCAGAGAGGGCACTGAGACTCTTGGGTGTCAAGGCCTCTGCAGAAATGTATCATCCATAAATACAGTGCTTGAAGGATCCCTCTGCCCCACACTGAACAAACAGTACTTCGCTCTTCACCAACACCCCCTCAAAGCCTATTCGTGGCAAATACTCCATTTTGCAGCAGATTTGCATGATTTACCCAAGCTATGAATAGATCTCAATGCAACTGGACTGGAATCTCTCGCAGCTCTCCGGTTCCTTCAGGTAAGCCTGGAACCATACTCCTCCCTTGCCTGCAGTGTGGTTCCGCAGAGCAGCCCCCTACTGACAGCTGATGATCACCCTTAGCTCCAAGAAGGATGAGGCAGGGCCCTGGAGCAGATGGTGCTTACTCACACCGGGTGAGAAGCAGGGAGGGAGGCTCGGTCAGAGGGGCCTGTACCACACTGCAGCATTAGAAATGGGAGCAGGGGGCCTGGCTTAGGCTCCTCACTCACAAGGCTGCCGGGTGTTCTGGCCTGAGGGCTTAGGGGTCCACTGTAAGAGGGGAAGTCCAAGTTTTGGATGGCACATGGACATTCCAAAATTACCACCCAGGAAACTTATCCCTATGGGGAGGTCTGGGGAGGCACAGCGCTTGCACCCCCTCCGCCTCCACCCAGGTGGACTCTCGACGGGTCATGCAGACTTGGAAGAGACCAGCAGCTCCATACCCTGTGCCAGTGGGCTAGAAGTGTGCCCAGAGACTGGGGGGTAGCCAGAGGAAAAACTGAACCATTCTTAGCTCTCAGGGCTGGCTGCTCTGCTCCCAAAGGAGCACCCCCTGCTCAGTGTAGGTGTCGTGAAGACACAGTCCAAGACTAAGATAATAGTAAAGGCTTAATTCCATTACAGTCAGAGCTGCGTTTACTGTTTTCTTGACCCCAAACAACTCCTCCAGGGTTTTGTGGCCCAGGGGGCTGAAGGTGCCTCAAGAAGTCCACAGAGAAACAACCTGGGGGCTATGCTGGTGGACCCTGAGTTGTTCGTAATTCCAGGTGCAGCAAATTCAACAGGAGATACAAATTTTCAGGGTGCTCAGCAAAAACTACACTCGAGTCAAATCCTTCAAATTTCTAGTTGGCATGGGGGGAACAGTTTCTGAAGGTAAGGTGTAGTGGGTGGAGTCAGAAATATCTTCATACAAAGCCAAGTTTGTTCTTCCTCTCTAGCCACTGGGTTCATCTCTTGAAGCATCCATTTTCCATCTACAAAATATGGAGTGTGTTCAGTCCCCATACCCAGTGCTTTGGAAAGCTTTAGCACCCAATTGGCTCTGAGTATATGTTCGTTCTTGTTACCTTGAAGAACCAGAGAGAGTTTCTGGCTGCAGTGAGTACAGAATAGAGGTGGGTCTTTCCAAGTATTAAACACTTTCCTCAAAGAAATGCAGGCAGGAAGGGAATAAACCATTTTCTTGACCTTGACCTTGACAACTTCTGCACATAGTTGGGCACACGGTGTCTCCCCTGCTCCCATTCTCTGCATACCGGCAGCAGGCCCTGTGTAGGTCCTGGGAGGATTATATACCTGGACGAAGAGGACATTTTACTGTTGACAACCCACACTGCATGAAGGCAGAGAGATTACTACCAGATGGCAAGAATGAAATAATTGCAATATTGAGGTTCAAGTGTCAAGCTGTGGGAAGAAACGAATTCTGTGATTTTAGGGAACGTGGTTCTTTGATTTCTAGCTATGGCAAATCAACTGCCTGAAGTCATAGTTCCAGAGACAAAGAAAGGAGTGAGAGAGGAAGTTTCTGTTTCCAGTTTTTATAACGAGTTCATGAATGAGGGGGACAGACGCTGGAGAGGGCCTAGCCACTAGGGTGGGCCCTGACAATCACATCCCAGGGCTGAGCTTAGATTCTCTGCCAAACAGGCACCTGTGCTTGGAAAGTTATTCTCGGTAGCCCCAAATTTTGGCAGGAAATGTTTGTCACCTGCCCCAAAGGGAAATGTTCCTCAATTTGCTGGGTGAGAAAAATTGAAAATGTGTGACTTCTGCCAGAATACTACAAGGGCCTCTCCAGCAAACTTAAAAGATGAGAAGAAAAAAATAGATATTAAAAAGGAATGAAATCAGCAAATTTTACTCATTCCAAGAAGCAACCCTGCCCCCACACACATTTTTCTCTCTGGTGAGTGGCTTCTTCTTGTTGATGAATGATAGCTGCCCCCTCTGCATTGTGTCCTTTAAAGAACATCATCAATGCCTGATATCAGAGGACCCACATGTGATTTAAAATAGCCACAGCAGCCTGCAAGTTGAACTTGAGTCCAGAAATGACAACCGGCAAATGGCATCTACTGATATTCTTCTGAAACGGCTTTGGGCGCAGAGAGGGGAGCCAAGTCAGCCAGCCAGTGTGGGTTTGCTGAGGACCACGAGGAGATGGGTGGGGGTCCCATACTGACAGCTCTCTGGCTTGTTATCCCTGCTGACCGATTGTCAAGAATGCAAAAACATCACAGTGGCATTCATTTAACTTTCTTCAGAAATGGGCCCGCAATGACAGCCAAGTTCCCAGAACCCTGCCTAAGTGCAAGGAGCACTGTAAATGTAAACCACGGACTCTCGTCTTAAAAGAGCGATTTCTTTTTATTGACAGAATCCTCCTTTTTAAAAAAATCTAACATCTCTGTGCACACCTATGCAAATCTTTGTTTTGCTCATCTCAGGGAAAAGCCTTGGGAATGTGGGCTCAGTGCAGGGAACTGAGACGGTACTAAGATCCCTTGGGTTCCTGTCTGTTGGCCGGGTCAGAGGCCCAGCAAATCCTCCCCTGTCCGTGGTGAGAAGCTGTGTTCAGCCAAGCCTGCCTCTCCCTGGTGCGGGAAGAGAGAGTCCCCAGGTGGTCTTAAGACCTTCAGAGTAGGGGTTTAGCCCTTGATAATCTTTTCTGAAGTCCACCTGGGTGCTTCTTCAGCTTGTGCAGTGCTTAGTCTCTGCCCCCAGGGAATTTCTGACTCCTTGTGGAGATGTGACACACCCAGGTGGGACCGTGGTGGACAGTCCAAAATGGCTTCTGGCGGCTCAACACTGGATCATAGATAGCCTGGTGCTATTTTTGTTATGTGGACCTTTCTAGTTTATACCTTGAATAGAATATGTGATACTCAAGGGTTTGGACTCTGTATTGATTCAAGAAACATCTGTTGAGCACCTACTACCTGCCTGGACTGTGCTAGGGAATGTGGGGCATGGGTGTAAATGTGAATAATGAGCACTGTGAGAATTTTATAGATTGTTAGCACAGCAGGTTGATGCACGAGCTCCCAGGAATTGTAATATAATATGGTGGGTACTAGGAAGAGGTACAGAACAGAGTGACTGGCTGCCTGAGGAAGGCTTCCCTGGAGGCAGTGGTATTTGACTTTGGTCTTGAATGGTCAGAAGGGCGTTCACTCCAAGTTTCAGA